AGGTAAGTGAATTTATGGTTTTACCCTTGAGTTTAAACATAATTTTAAAACATGATTTTTATCGATTTTGAGATGGTGGTAGAATTAAAAACCCGTTTTGATTTAGATACCATGACCAAATCTCATTTTATTTTAAGTTGGATTTTAATTGTTTAAGCAAGCCCAATTATAGAAATTTCTTAATACGTGTTGCTTGACCCTTATGATACATGTTTTCTTAAAATAAGTATGTTTACTTGAAATAATTATGTTTACTTGAAATGTACTTGCTAGCCTATTTTAGTCTCCAATATAGTAATGTTCTACTTGTGCTTGCTAGTGGGAGGTTTATAAACGGTAGCACATGTCGACATGTTACTTGTGGAACCAGTTTAGTCTTGTTATACTTGTTATCCTACTTGTGGGATTGTACACTAGCAAATCTTGTGCCCACCAGTGGGAGGTTTATAAACAATGGCCATGACTTATAAGGGAGACACTATTTTATTTCCCGTACTTGTACCAGTTTTCTTGATACTTGGTTTTATACTTGTCGACTTGCTTAATTTTAAATTTATAAATAAAAAGGAAAAGCCTAATATTCACTTATTGAGAATAAATCTCACGTTTTTCTTTGTCTACCATTTTAGGTAACAATACTAGAGACGTTGGGGATCAGGGCATGTGCCGGATACTTATTAAAGCCAATTTGGATTTAGTTAAGACTTGATTTAGTTCTTTTGGACTTATTAGAAAGTTGAGGATTTAATTAACAATTATTACATTATTTGACTTCGAGATTTTTTATTTGAACATTACTCAGATTTTAATAATAATAGCAATTTTAATAGACTTTATTTGTTTGTAATTGATTATGGATAGTAAGCTAGCTTGGTTCTGTGCACTTGTGGGTCCTACCCACAAGTGCACAATGTCTATTTTGTTCTAGGGTCTGGGACGTGACACATCATGTGCAACTCATCCTTGCTAGAAAACATAATAGCTAACTTAAAATCAACTTTCTAATAACGACTTTGAGCCCTAAATCGGAGATCCAATGCTAAAGGAAACCTTTGAATTAGGGAAAAACAATTCCATCTTGGAGAGAACTTACCTGAAAAGGCCAAAACAACCCAAGAATCACAAGATTAACAAGCCCATCCTTTGATTCAAAAACTCCAGTTGAAATCAAGGGTTCTCATATATGTTGTGGGATTAGTCTCCTCTAGATTCAAATAAATGAGATATGAGAATCCTAAATCAAAAGAACAATAGTCAATATCATCAATTAAGCCTTTGTTTGGATCAGGGGATTTTGAGGGGAAGGGGAGGAGAGAGAAAGGGAGATGCCTACTTTTCATGTTTGGATTGTCCTTTTAATGGAGGGGTAGGGAGATGGAGGGAGATCAAGCCACCTCCACTCCTTTGATTTCTATCTCCCCAATTTTGAGGAATTAAGAGATGAATTTTTCTAGGTATTTATTTATTTTTGAAATTTAAAATAAATAAATATAAATATCTTATTTTAATTTTTTATTTAATAAATAAAATAAAATAAAATATTATATTATATTATATTATTTTTTTATAAATTATTTAATTAAATAAAAATATTTTTCTCTCTTTTCCTCTACTTTCCTCTATCCAAATAACTTTAATACTAATTCTTCCCTTACCTTCTCTTCTTCTGCTTTCCCTTTCCCTCCCTTTTCTTCTTTTTTTAACTAATTTTTATCCAAATAAAGGCAAGTGCACAAGCAAATATTTTGCTAGAGGCTTTGGGAGCAAAGGTGAATGAAGAAGATTTGAAGCTATTGTTGGGGTTTTTTTTTTCTTATCATGGATTTGTGAAAAATGGAAAATAGAAACATCAAAAGCACAAAGGTGAGAAGGTAATTATAGGAGGGAAAAGACTGATGAAAGAGAGAAAAATCTCAACATTTGGGAGCGCCAGTGGTAACTCCCATTAGGGTTTCGTCATCCCAACGGAGAGGCGGAGAGCTAACCTAGCTACTATATGCTTTTATTTATTGAGCTAGGATTGTGAATGAAAGCTGTGAAATTGATTTTTCACTTCATATTATTCAATCTACTCTTCCTTGAACATTCTCACCCGTTAATTAAATTATGTACGTACATCATAAAAAACAAAAGAAGATGGAAAATTCAAATATAGCATTAAAAAATGAAAACTATAGTGACTTTTATTGAATAATTTAATAAGAAATAATTAAAATTGACAATAAATAAAAAAGAAAGCTTATTTATTCTCCTCATAATTGAACTCTTCTCTTCACTTCATATATTCCACATGGTCGGATCTGCGAATAAATATTATTATTTAATAATAATCAGATACAATAAAAAAATGTGATATAATTTTCTTGAGGTTAAAAAAAATGTATTTGATATAAAATAAATTAATACAGTTGTGTATATCATTACCCATTCATCATCATCGGAAATCAATCACTACAAGAAAACCTGGCTTCACCGACCAAATATCACCGAGGTAAGAAGGTTCCTCGGTGAAGCATGCTTTTACCGACAAGAATCAAGTCTGCAACTTCAGAAACAGTAGAAATGTGAGTAAGATATATTATTTAGTATACAGACGTAACACTTGTCGGTAATGTAAGATTATACATACGAGTTATTCGTCGGTAACTGCAGCAACTACTCTGGCCGGTGAGGGAAGGACGGAAACGCATATCACCGATGAGAACCACGCCTGTAAATTGAAATTTGGAATGATAGTCTCGTCGGTAATTGAGGATCAATTTCCAACGTCCATCTTTTCGATAATTTCCACTCCTAACGTACACCCGCCAACCAGCTGGCTGCCTACGTCAGGGAGTGCAGCTTTTTGCTGAAATTTGCCGACATAATCCTTGTCAGTAATTTGCTATTCAACAACTCCCCGCGAATCCGACTGCTGGCCACTGGTGTTGCAGCTTTTATTTTCCTTACCGATAAGATGCAGGTCGGTAATAGCTACATTGCCAACTTGATGCTCATCGATGATGGTCCGGTCAATGAGAATCCTGATGCAATGCAGAGATGATCAACTTTAGACTATAGCAACGTGGGTTTCGTCGGTAAGTTTGCCTATTGCCCTGCCGACCCACCCTTCTGCCTTCATTTTGGTCTTTCTCCCTTCATTTTGGTCTTTCTCCCTTCATTTTGGTCTTTCTCCTTTCATTTTCATTTCCCTCTTGTCCCGCGAGTTGTTCTTGCTCCCTTTCCTCCATTCCTCCGTTTGAAGCACTTTAACACATTTTTCTTCTTACAATCTAGTGGATCAAGCAGTGGTAAGTAAAATTTAAGTAGTATTATTATTTTTTATATATTTTATGTTTATTTTATTTTTTTCTGAAATTTAAACCGTTAAATATTATTATTAATTAGTTCATTAGATATTAGTTAATATTATTAGATTTTCTTTTAGATAAATTTGATGAATAGTTATGAATAATGTTTTTATAAATTTTTAGTGAAATTTCAACCATTAATGACAAAATTTTTATATTAAGTATTTGATATTAGCTAGCATTTTCAGATTTGTTGTTTTGATCATATTTTAAGGTGAATATATATGATTGTTGTGAGTTTTGAAGATTTTATATGGGCAAATTTTCATGTCTTACCGTTTTCTGCATTTCGTATCTTTTAATTAACTATAAAACATTGTATTTTTCATAGTTAAAGATTAAAAAAAATATTAAAAAAGTTCAGGGATGAAAAGTATGTAAACTTTAAAGTTGAAGGACCTAAATGTTTTGGTTAAATAACCATGTTAGTCCCTCAACTTTCTGATTTAGGTCAAACTTATTCCAAAACTTTAAAAAGTACTAAAAATGTCCTTAAACTTTAATTTTTGGAACCAAAATAATCCCTGAAGTTTTGTTTAGTATCAATTTAGTCCTTAACATTTGAAAACTTAGACCTTAAAACTTTGATTATAAGTACTAATTTATTTATTCAACTTTATAAATATAATTGGAAAAATATATTATAATAGTAAAATATAATTATTTGATTTGATTTTATTAATTTTTGAAAAAGAAATTGATTTTGTGGCAAAATAATGAATATCAAGTAACACGTTGAGATAAGTATTATTTTGGTATTAAATATTAAAGTTTAGGGATAGTTTTGGTATTTTTAAAATTTAGCATAATTTTGATATAAATTTAAAATATTATGGACTAAATTTGGTATTTCAACTTAACTTTTTAACAATTTAATAATTGATCTTATTTTGTTGTTGTATCTACTTTAAGTTATATTATGTTAATTTTAAAATGTAGTTTTTTTAATTTAATGGTATATATAAAGAAATTTTGAATTGAAAAAAT